CGAAATTGTCGCCCTAGTAAAAAAACACAAGAGGGCATGTGGAACGCCCTAGATCTGTCTAGCTCAAGCTCCCCGACAAGATCGAGGCTGGTCAACCTTCATCTGCAAACTGAAGCCTGATGATCAAGACGCACATCCACGTTGTTCGCAAAAAAAAAAGCCAGACCCCAAGAACCAGATCTAGAAACACACCATCCTTCACACGCCGCCCGATAGATGAGATGAAGAGGCATCAGCAGAATGAAGACGGGGTGAGGTGACCTTATTCCACGTCCACGACAAACTCATCACTTTGTCACTGTCGATCAAAGATCAAACCCTAAATTTATTCCTAATTCTACCACCACCAAAACGAAGCACAGGGGTCCCCGCTCTCTCCTATCACTTAGCGATAGGAGAGAGACACAAGTGGCCCGTGGTCTCGCCAGTGGAAGCAGTAGATCAGGGGCCGAAGCAGGGAGGAAAGTACGCCCCAAAGCATGATGATGTCTTAACAGTCCTTCAGACAAAAAGTACATGTTTTTTTAGAAAAGAAGGATGACCCCCGGCCTTTGACAAAAAGTACATGTACATCTTTGTACTTTTGTTTTTCCTTAATTCATATGAAACTTTTGTATTTGCCAATTCTGTTTAACAAGTTTTCTTATTTGGCATACATTAACATTCTAAATGGACAGTGGAGCACATCTCATGATGATAAAGTTCCTCGGTACGGATCATTTTTATTTTAGCGAAGCGAATTCTGCAAATTGTGTAAATGTATTTCTCCTGAATTTCTAATACACCATTACATTTTACTTAACATGCATGCCCATTTTTAATGCAATATTACACTTCATACTTTCAAAAGTGATTCTTGTGCAGAACATTTTCAGAAACGTACTTATACTATCTATTAAACGTTTGGGAGCTCCTTCCAATCAAGGAAATAACCTGAGGTTGGAAAAGATAACTGGGGCGAGAATATTTCCAGAATTGGCGCAAAAATGATGGCGCCCGTCGGAGGTGGGCGTGCGCTCTGTCTGCCCTCTGCACACCTGGGGTACTGAGCAAGCATCACGAGCGGGATCCCCTGAGCGCCGTGCCGAGCATCACTTTCCCCTGCCTCGTTCCCCATTGCGTCGCTGCTCCTCTGGGTTCGCTCGACGATTCGATGAAGCCAGCGGCGCGTGTACCAGCGGTGGCTGTGCTCCTCGCCGCCGCCGTCGCCGCCGCGGCAGTGTCCGGTACTGCGCCAGCGCCGGCGCTTACCCTGCACCGCACGGTGCCTCTGTCGGCGGCGCGGCTGGATCATCTGCAGGAGCTGGACCGGGTGCGGCTGTCCAGGAGGGTTGGCGTGCCGGAGTTCGGCCTGCTGGGCATGCCCGGGTAAGTTGCTCTGCTCGATCTGCTTTCTTGCTTCTGTTCTTTTGCTCGCGGGGTTGAGCCCCCGCAGCTAATAAAACCACTGCTATACTGATGCTGATACTTCGTGGAGTGTGGTCTGCTCTTCTGATTGATCAATCCATTATACTAGCAAGCCAAACAAAGAGAAATAACTGACATGCTTGCCTTCATCCAGTTTCTGAATGAACATCCAGTACAAACTAGAGTACACATTAGCTTTCTCTATGCACCTCTGCATCTCCAAACTCTGAAACTCCAGGGCATGGCACAACAGGGCTGCAAAATGAAAACAGAGAGGGCCGTTGGTTGTCCATTCGTACCCTTGAATGAGAGTATGAGACCACCGATTTGAGACCAAGTCTTAGTTGCACATGTAATCCTTCCCCTGAAATAAGCTGCGATGACCCCATTTTCCAGCCTATGGACGAATTTCATGAGGAGACAATCCTTCTGAGCTTTCAAGTTCTTAACCCACAATCCTCCTTCCTCAAATGCAGCGAGTTGGGGTATACAGGTGATGGATTGCTCGGTGGTTTTGTCCGGAGCTCTTACTGAATTAGTTAGAATTCTGCAACTGGGATTGTTACTTGTTTCTTTTAAATTTATAAAGCAGAGCAGGAGACTGAATGTCAAAAGGGCCTTTGCTCGTCCATTTGTCCATCCAAAAAGGTGTTCTGTGGCCATTACAATTCTGAACCTAAGACTTTGCTTTTGAACTATACATCAATAAAATGGCTGCATGCATCATTCTGATGGAGAGGCAGGGGGCATTCCTCCTTTTCCAAAAAAAAATACAATTCAGGATGATCGTTTGTGGTTCTCTGTATCAGAGAAACTAGCATGGTAATTTGGTGACATGTCCGTGTTGATAACGAGGTCTGATCACTAAGATTTTTACCATACTACTGAGATTTTATACCCACTTGGCATGTAATGAATTTATTTTCTTTTGCCAATGCGGCAAGCACAAAAAGAAACTTGTCTTTCGCCCTTCGCATATGTTCAGTTTTTAACTTAACCACTGTATTCTCATTGATCAACTTCATCTTATGGCATTCTTTTTATTATTATTATTATTATTATAGCTTGATTCTGAAGTTTGAACTTGCAGGATCTATTATACACGTGTGACATTGGGCAACCCACCGAAACAGTACTCTCTGCAATTTGACACTGGTAGCAACCTCATGTGGCTTAGATGCAGCCCCTGCACTGATTGCCCGCTGTCAGCCCAACTTGATGTAAGACATACATTCTCCGATAACTAATCCATTTGATTGAAAAATGCATCTACTTTCAGAACGTTTTCTCTCCCTTGTGATTCAATGATGTTATATCATTCTATTTTTCTCAGGCCTCCTTGTACAGCCCCAGCAATTCTTCGACATCGTCCAACATATCATGCTCTGATGACTTCTGCAAAGATGCCCTCAAAACAGGGCATTCCATCTGTCAAGCCTCGGGCACTACAAGCAACCAATGTGGTTATTCGCAGGCATATGCTGGTGAAACTAGCACGGAAGGGTATTACGTGTCTGATGTCATGCATTTTGACACTGTCATGGAAAATGAAAATGAGTCGGCCACCGTCTCTTCTGCCTCTGTCATTTTTGGGTATATTTCTCTTTGTGCCATCATCTTATAATTCTCTATCAACTTGTGATATTTAACTAATCTTTTTTAAACAGATGTAGCAACTCGTTGTCAGGGCAAGTGCAAACAGATGGATTTATGGGGTTTGGAAAGGATGCACCATCTGTTATCTTGCAACTGAGCTCTCAGGGGGTTTCTCCGAAGGCCTTCTCTCACTGCCTGACAAGTTTAGATGATGGTGGTGGCATTGTTGTTCTCGGTGAAGTTGTAGAGCCGGGAATTGTATTTACTCCACTCGTTCAATCACAGTAAGAATTTCCAAGTTTGTATTTCTCGATGGTTCAGTTGTTCCAGCACTGTACTTTTCTTCCCTGTTTTGGTGGTACAAATATAATATTTATCTATATTTGTGCACTGTACTTTGATTGTAATTTCACGGAGTAACTGATTTGGCCAAATCACAATCGCATTGCCTTATCTATATTTATAATTTGCCAGAGCCCTCCCCTCCCTCCCCTCCCCCGCCGCCACCCGCGAGGCGTCGAGGAGGGTTCCCGATCCCGGCCGCCGCACCCCCCTCCTCCTCCCTCCTCCGCCCTCGCCGCCGCCAAGGGGCGCGGCCGGGCGAAGCCCGACCGTCGCCGGCGGCGGCGAGGCTCCTTCGTCCCCCGCACGTAGGGTTTGGCGCGGGCCAGATCTGCGGCTGGGTGCGGCGCTCGGTGCCGGGCGCGGCGGAGCCCCGGAGCAGGCCGGCGAGGGTGGCG